ACATTTTGCTTCTCATCCAAGAAGCTTCTTCACTTCTTGGATGAGAAGTGAAATGTTTTCAAGGAAAAAGTCCACTTGACTTGTAGAAAAGCACCTTTGGGATAGAGAGAAAGTAGAAAAAAGTGAGGCATGATAAAGGTTGAACTTCAATCCTGGTGATACATAGATATGCCTGTGCAGCTTTCTTTGCAGCAATAGGTAATTAGCCACCAAACTTATTCTGGGCTGTTTCTTTGACCTATTATACTAGACCTGGATTTTCCTGTGGGATCTCCCCTTCAAAGACTAGCAGATCAGACCTGAAGAAAAAATGCAAGACTTCTAGTCAAAATCCCTGTTTTTAGATTGCTGATTTCTCAATCTCGGCCATTTAACATAGGTGGACCAACTCCCAGAATTTCCCAATCAGCATGCTGACTAGAGAATTCTGGGAGCTAAAGTCCTCATATTTTAAAGTCGCTGAAGTTGAAACGCACCATCTTAGACCACTCACGCAATTGGTTGTCCAAAAAAAATCCTTATCTAAAAAAACCCCTTCTTTATATCATGGGCATTTCCACAATTAAAAGAGGCCTATTCTAAGTACTGAAAGCTACCATGATATCATGGAAATGGGTGTATTTAGTTCTATGAGTTTCATACAGAAAACTAACAGGTTTCTGTTATTGAAAGCAAATAACTTGGTAAAGGTTCCATCTGAATTTACAGTGTAGGTCATTAATGGCTAATGTTTTCTGGAATGAGTGCCCAAAGCGTGTGCATGCCCAAACCCCCAAAATGCAATGTGCACTCATCCCCCGTGCATGCCTGGTGCCATTGCACACATGCACATCTCCCCACATGCAGCCCACCCCCACACATGTGCAGGTGCCCCCCTCATAAATGGCCCATCCCCCCACATGCGTGGTAGAGACCCGAACACCAGCTGGCTGGCAGGAGACACATACGCATGCGCGGTGGAGCTGAACTGGGAGACAGCTCACATGCCATCAGAGAGGGCACTGTGTGTCACCTCTGGCACGTGTGCCCTTGGTTCACCATCATAGGTGTAGGTCTTTTTCCTGTGTAAACATCCTATCAAGAAACGCTGCTAGATAAATGTAAAAATCATTTCACCACATTTCACCATTCGGCAAGATGGATGGAATAAACATTTAATGATGATGATGANGGAAAATAATTTACATCCTGTTTGTTATTTCAATAGAAGGTAGCATTCATCGTTCATGGTTGTACTGTGGAGTCTTTGCTGTTTTCTGAGTCTCATGTTCTCTGAATGAAGTCTATTGTTCTAGATGTAAAGGGGAAATTGTGGCAGAATTTAATCCATTAAAGCATGTATAAAATTGCAGCATAATTTCCCCTTTTTATATGAAAACTTTGTAAAACCTATCAGAATCCTTGTACTTTTACAAGAAGGATTTCCTTCTCTTTTATAATTCTATACTCAAAACATGAATTGGTTGGGATGTGTGTCTGTGTGTGTGTGTGTGTGTGTGTGTGTGTGTGTGTGTGTGTGTGTTTGGTCCAAGATCAAAATGCAACAGTACATATGTAACAAAGTAGATATGTACGTAACAGAGTTGTTCCTAATATTCCTGCTGGTATCTGATATTATTTAAATGAGATTCTGATTTTGTTTAAACTCTTCAATCATTCTATAATGGTTTTGCTAATACTAATAAAATATTAAGTTAACTGTACTGGTTAAGACATCAGGCTGGAAACTAGGAGACCATGAATTCTAGTCCCAACTTGGGCACAAAGGATGTCTTGGGTTAGTCATTGTTTCTTAGCCCTAGGAAGGAGAAAAAGGCCAATCACTTCTGAACATCTTTGCAGGAAAACTGCAAGCACTAATATAGGCATTTTTAACAGATTAGCAGAGTTGGAGGGGACCACATAGGTCATCTAGTCCAACCCCCCACCCAAGCACCATTTCTGACAGATGGCAGTCTGATCTCTTCTTGAAAGCCTCCAGTGATGAAGCTCTCGTAAATTCAGAAGGCAAGCTGTTCCATTGGTTGATTGGTCTCACTGTCTCTCCTTGTTCAGTTTCCATCCATTGTTCCTTGTCTGGCCTTCAGATGCCTTGAAAAAATAGCTAGACCCCTTCCCCTCTGTGGCAGTCCCTCAAATATTGGAACACTGCTATCATGTCTTCCCGAATCCTTCTCTTCATTAGACTAGCCATGCCCAGTTCCGTTCATCAAATGTTTTAGCCTCCAGTTCCCTAATCACCTTGGCTGCTCTTCTCGGCACTCTTTCTAGAAAGATCTTCTTTATAATGTGGAAACTGAAACTGGATCCGGTATTCTAGGTGTGGTCTTTATAGAGTAAAGCTTTATAGAGTGGTGTTAGTACCTCACTTGATCTTGATTGTATCCCTCTGTTAATGCAATTTAATGCATAGGCTTTCTTGGCTGCCCGTGCACACTGCTAGTTCATATTTAATTGGTTGTCACTGAGACTCCAAGATCCCTGTCACAGTTACTGCTATTAAGCCTGGTTTCACCCAGTCTATATGTGTACTTTTTCTTGCCTAAATGTAAGACTTTACTTTTCTCTACATTGAATTTCATTTTGTTAGGTAGGGCCCAGTGTTCAAGTCTGTCAAGATCCATCTAGATCTTGAGCCTATCTTCTAGGGTGTTGGCTATTCCTGCCAGCTTAGTAAATTTGGTAAATTCCCACTGAATCAAAGGCACATAATAGAAAAAAAAAGATTGAGATATCAGAAATGTCTGCTAGAAATGATCTTTCCGTTGACTGGCTTATCAACTATCCAGTCATGATTTTTATTGTGAAAAATCACATAGAACTTGGGGGCACCCAAAATGCCCAACCAGTTTTTTGTGTGGGGGGAGGGGTATATTATCAAAATCAGAACCCTCTTCTCTGCTTGAATGAAGCATTATTCTTAGTGGGCAGGTAGACAGAGCTCAAATGAGAAGAATTTCTTCCCAAGGCACCATGTGGTAGGACAATGGTCAACACCTTGGCTTTCCGAGAAAGAAATCAACCATGATGATTTTATTGAGAAACACATTTTAATAACATAAACTTTAACAAATAATACGTTATAATAAGTTACATTAAATTAAATTCAATCTTGAAATTCTCCCTTCTGAAAACATCATTATGGTGTTTTCATGGCTCCAAAGTAGGGAATACACCAAATAATCAATTAACTGACAACATCAACTAGCTCTTGAGAGTTAGGATGAACGGATACCACAGGTCTTGGCTCCTTTCTCTTCTTCCTGCCATATCACTGGCAATCCAGCCAGCTATTACTCTTCTTTATGCCCAGAAATCTCTTGGTTGCAAAGTCAAAATCATGCTGCTTTGGACCATTGAATAAATAGAAGTGTCCTAAAAGAATAAACAAGATAGCTTAATTAAACAAGGGCAGTTGATTCCCAGCTAGTATGAAGTTTTCATCTGTCTTCTTTCCCTTTCAGTTTTGACGGAATCTTATTAGTATCCCTAAAATATATGTAATATAAAAAATTGGAACGGGGAACTGACCATTTCACAGTGATAAAGTTTTCTAGCGTATAGTTTCCCTTTTTCAGAATGAGGTAGGTTGGGCCTAGACACATAAATTTATGTGGCCAAGATAAACATTCAGTTTGATTTTCTTTCACTTAGAAGTCAACTCTGATTAAAGTTAAAAATAGTTGACATGGTTATATTTAATAATGTTCCCTTTCTGTCACATTAAACTTACACATCTGTGGTAACTTTTGTTCTTGGGACTGCTTACAGTTATGGTGAATAACTGACAGTGTTAATTATATCAGCTGTCTAAGAATATTTAAATATGATAAACCCATAGGAGGCATTCAGCATTGCTATGGTTTTTAAGAAATCAGTTGTTGGATTTTCAGTACAAATGTTTTGTACTTTTTGAAAACGAAGTGGTTTAGATTTCGCAGAGTTTTTATCCAGAAGCTTTTCCTTGAGATGAAGAAACATTGAGACCAGTTATGAGAATTAAAGTTGACTGATTTTCCCTCATTAACCTAAGTAAACCTAAGGCTAATGCAGTGGTGGGATTCAATTTTTTTTTACTACTGTGTGTGGCTTGGTGGGCGTGGCATGGCTTGGTGGGCGTGGCTTGGTGGGTGTGGCAGGGAAGGATGCTGTAAAATCTCCATCTCCACGTGGATTTTGATTGGTCCATTCAGAATTCTGAATGGACAATGGATTTTGATTAAGTTAACAGAAATGATCTTACCATTATCTATAAAAGCAGCATCCACCTTGGAGCGAAAGTTATGGAAGTCAGCTGCTATTTTTCTTGGATACCCTTGCTCCATGGAGTTCTTTTCATCATCATACCTAAGAAGAAGAAGAAGAAGAAGAAGAAGAAGAAGAAGAAGAAGAAGAAGAAGAAGAAGAAGAAGAAGAAGAAGAAGAAGAAGAAGAAGAAGTATTATTTAAAGAATCTATGGACTATGAAATCCTATTTGAAAAATATTTGATAANAAGAAGAAGAAGAAGAAGAAGAAGAAGAAGAAGAAGAAGAAGAAGAAGAAGAAGAAGAAGAAGAAGAAGAAGAAGAAGAAGAAGAAGAAGAAGAATTATTATTTAGAAATCTAAATTGCTTCAAGAATCTGTATTACTTTCTCCATTGGTATCACAAGCTAGCGTACTTGTTAGTTATGTATTACTTCTAGAATCAAAGGTTGCATAACATTTGGTTTAGTGGTCAAGTCTACTTTTTAGCTAGGGAAATTCATGAAATGATTTTGAATTATTCTGTTACTATTATTATTCAGACCTATCTCACAGTTGCTGCTGAAGAAAAATGAAGGAGGGTGTTATTTATGTTATCTTGAGCTTCTTGTGGATAGGTAAAATACATATCTAATGACTGTAAAAATAATGATATACATAAATGTTCATTGCCATGTGGCTTCTTTAATGCATTTAGATCATTGTCATATGAACCAGATGATCAGTATGGACCAGACTGGTTTTTAGCCTAATCAAGAGCTCTTACATTTGAAAGTCAACATGTCCAGGGAAATGAATTTCCTCTGTCCCTTTCCTTAGTCTATAGTAATGGTAAAAATTTCCTTGTCCTCTTGTATCCAATTCTAGGACATGGTGCTCATCTCCATTTCTTGGCTGAAGGAACCAGTATTGTCCAAAGACATTTCTTCGTTGGGGGAGCAAGCATTGTCCAGAGATATTTTCCTATCAATGGTACCTATTAATCTACTCACACTTGCATTCTTTCGGACTGATATGTAAAATACATCAGAAATTGACCTGTGCCACAATGAACATCTAAGTTATTATAGAGTGTTTGGTATAAGGTTTATTGTATTGTTTATATTAGATTTAGTTTGTTGTGTTTTTAATGTCTATCTATTGTTCTTACCCCCGTTTTAGATTTTTAAGCTTTTTATGTAATTTTTTGGGCTATTTTTTATGTTTTCATTTTTTTTGTATCCCACACTCCTTATGCTGGCCTTTGACTGTAATAAAGATTTATTTGAACTGATATATTATAAGAGCGCAGTCTAAGGCACAAAACAAAAAGATAAGTGAAAGTAATATGTTTTGTCTAAGCAGGTGTATCATAGCATGTTCCACTTCACTAGAAGAGATTCTGTGAGGGTAAAATCCCACTGGTGGAGGATAATTAAAATTATATCCAACCCAATAAAACAAAGCAAGACACATATGGTGCAGTTTGAGCATTTTAGGGTAAGGCAAGATCATAAATGTAACATTTTTCCTTTACCTCCAATAACGGTCACCAGAAAAGAAGTATACTTTCTTTGAACTACTGTCATAAGCTGCTGCATCAACTTTTTTAATGTTGTGTGGGAAGCCCAGATTCTGGATGTTCCTTGGGAAACCATGCTCTATAATATTTCCCCTGGAAGACCAATACTTTTGTCCTGTTAAAGAAAAGATAACAAAATGTACACCTCTGTCAGAAGGAATAAAAACTTGGTTAGGGAGATGGGGTGTTCCAGATTCCAGATTCAGAGAGTGAGTTATATTGACATCCACGAGAGTTTGCAAGGGTGGACATTCCTTCAACTAGTAGAGATAAGAATGCTTGAAATAGCATTAAGTTTACTGATCAAATCAATCCCCTACTTTTGGAGATAGCAATAAGAAAAATCAAACAGAAATCCTATCCCAGCCCACTTCAGTGATGTCACTGCATTACTACACTAAGATTGTCTACTCTTGATCATTGACTGGGAGCCTAACAGATGCTACCTTAGGCTCCATGATTGAAGAAAGGTAGAATAGAGATTTGGGAATATACTGGACACCAAAAATAATACATGGGGCAATATTGGGTCCATATTTAGTTCATTTTCTACTATGCAGTGATCCATAGAAGTATCTCACATTTTCCCTTGGAACTGTTATTTGACATGTATCTTAGTGTCTTATTACTAAAGGTAATCAGGAAATGTACAGTACTCCTCTATGCAACATTTTAAAGCGAGGAGACTCCTTTTAGGGAGAGTTCCAATTCCCAGTCAAGGTCTCAGTTCAATCTTCAGGAAGTCCCAGTAGAGTTGGAAAACCTTTGGAGATCTGCTGCCAATGCTAGATTACAGAGATCAATAATATGATTTAATGTATGCTGGATTCTTATGGGACTATGCTTCCTATCAAGCTATGTTTTCAGGGAAAACAGCTAGATCCTACTTATAGCCACTTGCACAGTCCATCTTATCAGTTATCCCCCCTTCCTCCACATACTTTGGAATATTCATTATGTTGACATTGAAAAGAGGAATTATTTACCCTTAAAAAGAAAGACGATGTCCTTGTCTCTGTTTTCATATGCAGCATCTATGCCAGTGCTCAAAGTTGGCCAGAAAGCAGAAATGGGATCTTTCTCAATTGTACTTCGGAGGGGATTTTTTCTCCAGAAGAAACTACATTGATAGAAGAGAAAGGAGAAGGAACATAATTCAGGGGCAGAACCTGCACTGACATTTGCAGGGAAAGCTACTTGGATGAGTGGGGAATGGAATAACCATATACATGATGTAATGACTATTATACATGATGTAATGACTATTATACATGATGTAATTAATTATGTGTCATGTAAGACTTCATGAAGCAAATACATTATTATGGCATTTGTATGATAACGTCAGGAATGTATTGTCATTTAACATGTCATGGTCTGATGTCATTAGACCCGTATGTATGTATGTATGTATGTATGTATGTATGTATGTATGTATGTATGTATGTATATATATGTGTGTATGTGTATGTGTATGTATGTATATGTATATATACATACATACATACATACATACATACATACATACATACATACATACATACATACGGGTCTAATGACATCAGACCATGACATGTTAAATGACAATACATTCCTGACGTTATCATACAAATGCCATAATAATGTATTTGCTTCATGAAGTCTTACATGACACATAATTAATTACATCATGTATAATAGTCATTACATCATGT